TAAAATATCAAGTTTGATTTAATATTCTTTTTTTGTAATTATATCTAGTAATTTAATTAGTAGTATCTTCTACTAAAAGTTTTTGTCTGTTTAATTTTTTTATATTAATATCTATTTTTTAAATCAAATTTTTATAGTTGCATAATTAAAATTTTATACTACCTTTTTATTTAAGTCTTTTCAAATAAGCTTTTATTTTATAGTTTTACAGATTTATATAATTATAAGAACTTATTTTGGTTTGCCTTTGTACTAGTTTATATCTATCTATCTTTCTATATAACTAAATTATACAAATATCTTATAACCACAGATAAAAAAATCAATTTTTAACTAAATAATAACCAGTAATATTTGGTACAAATTATAACTTATTTACTATATATTTACTAGGTAATATATGTAATTTAATATATTTTTAGTTAATATGTTTAAATGCATATATTACCTAGTGAATATATAGTAAATAAGTTATAATTTGTACTAGAAATTACTGGTTATTATTTAGTTAAAAATTGATTTTTTTACCTGTAAATATGCCAATTATACTAATATAATCATGGCTACAGATATTCTATTCAAACTGATCAATAAAAAAAAAAGTTACTATATAAATGTTTTCAAAATTTTATCGCCAATGGGTTTTAAACTAACAACCTGCCACATGGAAGGATAACAACTTATCCATTACACTAAGTAGCTACATTTTATAATATTAACCTTAATTATTATAATAGTTTAATTTATTAATTGTTAAAATGATAGATTTATGTTTTAATAAGTACTTATAATAAATGTTTTCATTACTTAATAATTAGAATAAGAGTATTTTTATAAAAATATTATTTCTTACAAGTTTAGGATTATTAAGTAAAATAAAGGTAATAACTCTAGTTATTTTAATATTTAAATTTGTTAGTTGTTAAAAACAATAGATTAATGTTTTAATAAATGCTTTCAATAAAAGTTTTTACTACCTAATAGTTAAGGTAAGAATGTTTCTAAAAAAATATTATTTCTTGCAAGTTTAGTGTGACTGAGCGAAATGAAGGCAATAGCCAAAGTATAGTGTTAGATCCAGTTACCGTAATATTTTAATTTGTTGTTAAAAGATAGATTAATGTTTTAATAAGTGCTTCCAATAAATGTTTTACTGCAGTTTGCAAGTTTAGCATTATTGAGCGAAGCAAAAGCGATAGCTGAGGTGTAATGTTAACTCTAGTTACAATAAACTAAAAGTGATAGATTATTTCTAATAATTTCAATGTGTTCTAATATTTTAAAATCTAACACTAGATAATATAATTAACCTTTTTCATTTGCACGTAAGTGTGATAAATTATAGAGTATGACGAATAAGCATTAATTATATTAATAAGTGCTTATTTGTCATGTATATTAATTAGTTACATATATGCCAAATAGAAGAGACCGTCACAATTATAAAAAACGTCTTTTAGTATCACGTGATCCGGTGAAATTCACCTTCGGTGAGTGTTAAAATTTTCATATATGAGTGCGTGAGAGTGAAAACCTGGAAACCGATCTAAGTCGGTTTCCGGGTTTTCACTCTCACGCACTCATATAAAAGTCTGTTTAAACTAATATATAAATATAAAATTTAGGTTGTTAATCTATCTATAAATAGTTTAAACTATATAGTTTAACTAATTTTACATACAGGATTATTACTTATAATAAAGTTTATTCATGCATCATCAAATGCATAAATCATGGTTGTATTATCGTGCTTGAAGTTGGCGCTGCTTAAAGTTGCACCTGACCAAAACCCCTGAACTTAGATTTTCTTGCATGAAGATGCAAGTTCGGGTAGATGCTAACTTTAAAGCACGTCAGTATCATAAGAACGAATCAAATCATACGTTGATTCTGTAATATGTACATTTAAGGAAATTAAATAATTACATCTTATGACTGTATGATCACATGTTATTCCCATCTTTGTTTTATTAAACTCCCAAAAAATCATAACTATAGATATGCCATTTATATGATATCCGAATTTTTTTCATGTACAGTGCGTACAGTACGTATAGTTGTATAGTGTGTATAGCATGCGTAATAAATAGCATTTATAAATCAGTTATATGCAAAATTGTGCAAGGAACAATTTTTTAGAATGCGAAAGACAGTTTGATAATCAAAATTTTGAGATAGGGATACTTTCACTAATCACAACATAGTTATTCACATTTCTCATCAAACAGTGACACGATATTTTATGTTCATTATAAAATGGTTTATTGAATGTACTCAGATAGGTGTAAAAGGAAACCTTAACCAAATAAAATAAACAAATGATTTATGATAGGTAATGATTTATATGACAGAGTAACATATTCAACTTAGAAATAAAGAAGATACTATCAAAATTTTATTTATTAGAATGATAGGTAACAATTTGGATGACATGAAAGAAGCTCACACAAGTTTTATTAGCAGGTATAATAAGGGAAATTTGGTCAGACGATGCAATATTAATTCAACTAATAAATTTCGATTTCATGTAACTTAGCTCAAAAACAAATAAGTGTCATTATTAGGTATTAAGCAAACCAAATTAACCAAAATTGGTAGTTCATAATAATATAAATAATCAACACAAAAATAATTACTAAGATTGATAGGTGATACGATAATTGTCAATGCAAAAGAAGCAAAGTCAACACATCAGAATAGCACAAAGGTCACATGTCAAATCAAGTGTTTCTATTGTAAACAACCTGTAACTAGTAATGTATAAAAAAAACCATCAAGTTATTAAGCGATATCATATGGGAGCTTTGCTAGTAAAATGACCCTCCGAGTCATTAGTACACAAGATTTTAATTAGGATCATAATAAATCTATTTTTATAAAAAAAAATCCTAGCAAGGTCCCATATGTATGTTATAACAGGTCAACCATTTTTTAATTTGACTATAGTTCTATTGTTATTATTTATCGTGAAATTTGGGAGTCTCAATTTGAAAATATAAGCTATACCAAAGTTCACTTATACTCTTTAATTAATAACTCTAACCTAAATCCAAACTTAACTATAAAAAATCTCACGAATAATATCCTAAAAAAAAATTAAAATCAAAAAATAGATCCAAATTTCATAATCATCCGTGACATTGTTTATTTATTTATTTTTTCATGAAACAAAGACTTCTTTGTTCCGGTTAAAAAAATGTCAAACAATGATCGACAATTAATAATTCCATGATTGTAATGTCAAAAAATGTTTTTTATATGTACAAGCTGTCATCAGATTGCCTGCTGACCCTGTAATCCAAACTATCAGATATACTGTCCGACTACTAGTGATCGTCAACTTTCATTGATATGTGTTAAAGACGCCATTTCGCATGTGGTTTATAATAAGGAAATAAAAAAAAAAGCATAAACCTATTTAAGGAATGATAAACATGTTATTTTTAGGTTTAAAGTTCAAATTTGAACATAATAATTTATAGATTAGGCAAATTTAAAGACGCCAATACACGCAATATCGCCATTTTAGTATATGTTAATAAATTTTAATAATATTCGATGCAACATGATTTCGGAATAACATTCTTTTGCATAAAGAATATGCAAACGTGTTGTTCTTTATAACCCAGTAACAAGGTAAAATAATGTAATTCAATGTTTTATTGATTCACATGGCATACATGAAATTCTGGAAAACATTATAAAAATAACATTAGAAATTATGAAAAAATATAATAAAAAGATGATACGTATAAAAACAATATGAGGTATTTCATATCAAAAAGACCCATTTTGACATATAAACAATTTTGATTAAATCGATCATATAAAACATATATAAATTTTTTTGCTTTAAGTTTCATTTTGCGAATTGTTTTATTACATAATTAATAAAGCAAATTTTGTTTTATTGAATATATGTCTATCTAAAAAAAAAAAAAAAAAATGTAAAAGTGATACGTATTAGCCATATATAGATATGTTAGGGTATAGCTAAAGCTTAAAATAGATAACGCATTGTAAATCATTTAAAAGCAATCAGGTGACTGTAAGTACGAATATTCAATCCGATTACTCCCGAACAAATAAGGTTCCTCCAACTATTGCTGATTAATTGTGATACGATTTGGCTACCTCAACACATCCATAATAGTAGAAGATGGCGTTTTCATAGAAAAAAATATGTCAAATATAATTTAAATAATCCTACAGTATATACGTACGAATATGTTGTAAATGGAAACAGAGTTTAATTGGATTTAGAATTTTAGAATTTTTAGGGTATAATTTGGTTTATATAAACCTACACCCTATCCCTAAAACCCTTGGGAATTCCAAATCCACATAAATTTCGCACTCATGTACAATATGTAGTGCGTAAGACAAAATGCGCGTATTTTAATTCAAATACCATATATACGGCTTACTGCGAAAAAAAGGAACGTGCTTAATTTGCCATTTTAGCTAATTAATAGATATACCGTTACACTTTACTACTCACTTGATCTGAAATAAGGTTTTGTAAAATATAACAAGAAATCATTTGACTATAACTTGTGAAGTAAAGTGCACAAACCAGTTCAGATTTCCATTTTTATGAAGAAAAAGGTTTTTTATGAATAAAAGATTTTTATGATTTGTAAGAAAAAATCAAATGAATCATTATATAGTAACTATCACGGGTTCTTAACGCGTCTTTCATTAGAAAATCTTGCTTTTTCCTGTTATGGTATACAAAATATTCTAGATCAATTTAACGATTCTGCTATTATAAATAGCTGCGTTAATTGACATGAGAACTTTGTTGGGAAATTTTCAACAAAAAAAAAAAAAATTAGAAAATTAAAAAAAATTTAAAAAAAAGAGAAAAAAGAAAAAAACGACCATGATTGAAAAATTTATCATATATATTTTATTATAATATTTATTTATTTATTTAATTATATCTATTCACTATTTTATTTTATTTAATACTTTATATATATAATTTCTCAAACAAAATGGATCTGAGCATGCCTTTTGTTGAAACTGAATGCGAGGAGTGTGGAAAGCTGTGTTATCGGTGGTGTAAAGCATGCCAAGTTAAAGAGTTTAGGCGAAAGTTCAATGATTGGTCTAGTGGTAACATAGCTATTGACCAGCTGATTCAAAATACTCAGCTCAATGCAAGCGAGTATAAAGGATATCTCGAATGGATTCCACCTGAATCAGTGGACATTAATGAACAAGTATCAGAAGGTGCCTTTAGTACTATTCTTTCGGGAACATGGCTGGAAGGTCCTAGGTGGAAGTGGGATGAAGAAGACAATAGTTGGCATAGAAGTGGTCCTTTAGATTGTGCTTTAAAAAGGATAGAGGATTCTAATAATATAAGTCAAGAATATTTAGATAATGTATGAATTGGTATTAAATATGTCTGAAAAATATATATGTATATATAAATTCTAACACTATATTTATTATTAATTTTATTTAGGTTTTAAAACATCATCGATTCTTTCAGGGTGATTCAATGGTCGAATGCTTCGGAATTACTCGTGATCCTGAAACAGGTTGTTATATGTTCGTTGTTAGACTTTGTAATGAAAACCTTTATCAACTCCTTAAACGAACTATGGGACGACTTGCATGGAAGAATAGAATTTGTATGCTTTATGAAATTGCTAATGGTCTTAAACAAATCCATGATTGCGGGCTTTATCATGGAAACCTGCATGGTGGAAATTTGTTAACTGAAATGACAACAAATGGCATTAACATAAGAATTTCTGACACGGGATTGCATGGTCCACCTGATAGAAATTCTTCTACCATATCCGGTGTTTTACCATTTATTGCTCCTGAAGTCTTGAAAGGAAATCAATATACACAAGCTTCAGATGTATACAGTTTTGGAATTATTATGTGGGTAATGTCTACATGCATGCCCCCTTTTAATCAAACCAACCATGATCTTGATCTTGCGATACGTATATGCGAAGGTTTAAGACCAAAAATTAATGAAAATATTCCAGATATTTATTCAGTTTTAATGACAAGATGCTGGCATCAAGATCCAAAGCAACGCCCAAATATTGCTGAACTTTGCAATATTTTAAGTCAATTTGCATTAGATATGCGTGATAACACTTCATCGATTTCGAAACAATTTTCTTTCGCACATTGTATTACCCGCGGTGCATCTAAAGTAGTGTATATTAGCCAGCTAATTGGCTATCAAATACGCTAATTTTGATTTGTTTAATAATATACTGTATATTACTGAATATTACCATATAGTATAGTATATTGTATTAGCACAAATTATTTTACGTATCTATGATTCCTTTAATGGCCTTATCATTGGGATCTAATCAATTATATTATGACAGTTTTTTTTTTCTTTTTCATTCTCTGGAAGTCTGAATTCAAAATCCGAAAATTTTTTCTTTTTCGTTTCCTAAACAATCTGAATATCGTTTCTTAAACAAAATCTGAAAATCGTTTCTTAAACAAAATCTGAAAATCGTTTCTTAAACAAAATCTGAATACAAAACCCGAATAAATTTTTTTTTTCTTTGGCAAAATCATAAAATCTGAATGTAACGTGAACAATTAACAAATATGTCAAATTTATAAAAAAAAAAGATTACAAATATGCATTATTTACGGAATAATTCTAATTTCAAAACCAGATATTAATTTGAAGTGTTACATACTGTAAATCGATATTAATAATTTGTCTGTTTTGAGAAAATAAAAATCAAGTATATTGGCGCACTTTACGTACGTAATCGTATAGAAAACGGATATTGTCACAATCTAAAAAAGGCAACATTCATAAATATTTTGGTGTTACGGTAGTACATATATAGACATATATAGACATTTCCTTTTTTAGAATTTCCATTTTAGTATTCTTTCTATAGTAAAGGAAAAATGATTATTGACATATTTGATATATTATCTATCGCTTGGAATATTCCACGGAAAATCTGATTAAATAATTAAAAATAATTAAATAATTAAATCAATAATTATAAATCTATGAATATTCGGACATAGTAAACCAAAAGAAAAATTCCCAGCTTTTTACTGATCACAAACTGTAAGATAAATTAGGCAAAATAGATTCAAATATAGAATTATTACCTTTTTATTTTGTTTTATAAGATAAAAAAAAAAAAAATCCCGAAACAATTTGTGAATTGTTACAATAAGCTTTTCGAGAATTAAACATGTTTATCGTTATTTATAATATATTTGATCATATACATATAAAGCTGATGGAAGACTCTTTATTACTTATCTATTCGATCATATTACTTAGAATCCGCCTGTTTCACGTACTATTTATTATAAGTGCAATAATAAGAGAATAATCTACGGATCATATAAACTCTAATTAGTAACTCTTGGAAATTAAATTCCGAGATAACGTACAATAAACACTTGTTAAGATTGATTTGTCAGAGCCGGGTGTATCCAGAGAAGACCACATTTAGAAAGAAAAGTATACATGATTTATATGCAGGTACTTGGGTCTTACAAATAAGAGAATTGAATTAAGTGTTGTACTTTGAAAATGCATATTCGGAGTGAATTTAAACTTTTGGCTAATATTTTACGGTCAAAAAATGAATTGCTTTTAACCTCTTAATACCAATACAGAACCATTTAACTGTTACCATTATTTTTTATACGAATTTCCTATTGGAATTTCGATTCCTCTTTATCAAACATGTCTATAATGCTTTGTTTCTAGGTTGCGGAAGATCAACTCTGCTACAAGCTAGATTAATACACCACTTTTTATAGAATAATCGAGCGTCTAAGCTAGCTAGTACCGTAACATATAGTCGTATGATAACGCAATGTATTTGATATAAAATAATTGTACGTACGTATATTACAGTATCATTCACTCATATGATGAAAATAACTCTGAATTATATTTGCCGCATAAACTTGTATCGAACTTGTGATTTTCATTGATACCACAATAAACCCACGTACGTACGTACGGTGTGATTAGCGCCTAGATAAGCGGATTTTATCCTTGTTCATAAATTCAATTAATTTATAAAGGTTATTTAAAAAATAGATATGTTATTCAAGTTCATTATGTAAACCTTTTCATTTAATTTCTCTTTCATTTGTCTGCGTTAATTTAGTCAGTAAATGTATTATCTTTTGTTAATCGTATGTTTAAAAGAAGCATATTATTTAAGTTCTATAAAGTTTCCTATTTATAGGACTTTATTTAAAATTTCACTTTTTGTACGTCAATGGCGTTCTGCGGCAATCATGCCAAGAGTTAAAAAAAAAAAAAAAAAAACCACATTATTTACATTAATTTAATTGGGATCAAGATTAGGGATGGGATGTCAACGGTTATACATAGTTATGGTGATTTACGGCTGACGAAATGAGGAAAGTTTTTTTTCCATTTTTCGGCATGGCATTTCAAAACACTAATTACACAATTTTTTGGGGTCACCGACAATCATTTAACAGACAGCTCATTTAACCGACATCACACCAAGCGACAATTTCTAAAAACATATACCAGTAAATAATAAAATGCCAATCCTAACCCTACGTGTCTACACTGAAATACTTCCCCTAAAATTTGATTGACTAATCAGGGGATGTTTATAGGCAGAAATTCGCCTGATTGGCTAGCTTCATAAATCAATTCGTAGATCTACATGTGATTATTAGCCAATCAAATCACACGAGTTGCAATTCGTTATTTTAGTTTATTGGATTATATACGTATAAAAGATAGATAGACGAATATAGAGTAGGGCAAAAAATATTATTTGCTATTAAACAAAATCCGAATCACTAAACCTATTATCTATGAACCTAGATTGATCTATTAGATCTAAGTACGCTTTAACAAACTAAGCTAGCTTAAGAATATATTAAATATAAAGCCCAGATCTCTCACTAAAACAAGCTTGTCTTGTTTTAACCACCTAATCAGAAATATCAATCTCTCTAAAAAAAAAAGAGACAACTGTTCTGTTAATAACTACTTTTGCTTTTGTGCATTTTAAAATTAAAACGTAGCTTTTTTCTGTACCTCTTTCAGAAAGTCGTGTCTAAGCTAACTTTTCTGTGAATAGGATTATACAATATTAATTTTAGAGTTCGCTTTCTAGCTTTGTTTTTTGAAGATTGAAATAATGGTTGTGACAATTTTTTGCTTGTGTGATTTTTAAAGATGGGTTTCATGCGTGCGCATGATTGCGGAAACATGCGCGTTAATGCGCATTTTATCCCATCAAGATTTCTCTCCTCTCGATCGGTTTTTCTTTTTTTTTGCCTTTTTTTTATCATGCGATATCATGCGCATGAAACATTTCGTGCGAATTTTTCCCATCACTAGTGATTTTACTTTCCCAAAAAGTACTTTAAAGTGTATAAACAAGTTGCCCGGGAAATTGATTTACACCGGCCAATCAGACGAATTTCAGCCCATGACTGCCGTGCGGGATGCGCAAAAAACATTTTTCACATTAGGTCATATAAACTTATACTTTCGATTTTGATATCCTTGCCGGGTCAGCAAAGCAGAAATTCAAAATTTTTATTTTTTTAATATATCAAATCAAGTTGAATCCTTGAATTCTTATGAAGAGTGACAGTTTCAGTTTTTGTATTGACCTATCGTAATAAGTACTGCCAAAATACTTATCGGCAAAATACTTTATATGTAACCGAATGTATATATACTCGACCCCAATAAATGATAATGAAACTAATTTTATCAGAAATCGTAATAAAGACTACACTTGATCGTATTTCAAAAATGAAATCAATTTATATATAACGCTACATTTAATCCTCCTAGCATAATAGAGATGGGACGTTGCGCAGGCGGAATGTTTCGGAAGTTCGGATTTTTTCGTAATGTCCCAGAATTTAACAATTAATTTAACAACTCTGGCCCGCATTAGCCGTATTGCGGGCTGTGCAGTAGTTTCAAAAAATCCTAGATTTTCCAAACTCTAACCATAGCCACCAAAATAATCAATGAAACACTAATTAAATCAAATCCTGATAATTATCTAAATAAAGTAACGTTTATTTTGTTCGGACATGGGCATATCTGGAAATTTGGTGTTTATTAGTAATATGTCGAGTAGCGTAAGTCCCCTAGCCAATCGATTTTCGTACCGAAATCTTATTGATTTCCAGGGGCAGATCTATTTACTGAAAAGAAATGGTTTATTAATGAGAGTTATTAAATTGAAATGTCCTCGGAAGGTACGACTAGTAAGACTAATAAATTTAGCCAGTTTTGTTAATATCCAATTGAATATGTAAACTGTAATCTTAGTCATAAAAACTTGCATTTTACAAAAATAGAGGCTGGACCCGGGTAGGGTTACCCGCAGGTTGGTCGGGTATCCGAGTTGCAATTACACCAATCCGGATAATAGGGCTAGAGCTCATAGGAAGAAGTTTGTTTGATTGGCTGATGCAAATCAATTGTCCGGATAACTTATTTATACACTTTAAAGTACTTTTTGCTAAAGTAACATTTCATAATAAAAAAGAAAGTTTTTATATCTATCGTTTCGTCTAAGTTTCAGAAAACCACCTTTAAAAATATCTCTTATTTGAGGAATGTTACCTTAATAGCAACTTTTCATAATAGGTAAAGAGAAGAAACCGTGCACTATAGAAATTTGCAAATGAAAATCTTCAACTTGGAGGTTATAGGCAGAAGTTCGTCTGATTGGCTAATAAATTCAATTTAATTTTACATTCTTTATACATTTTAGAGCACTTTTTAAAAAAACGAAAACCAACTATACTAAAGTAAAAAAAAAAACCATATAGAAGGTTTCATTAGAGCTGTAGACTCCATAGTCAAAAATAAGATCTAATTCTCATTCATTTAAAAAAATTAGCTTAGCAATAAATTGATTTTATCGGGTTTTGAGAAGTTATTACTATACTAACTTTTTTAAACGACCGAGAATTAGATCTTATTTTTCACTATGGAGTCCTACAGCTTAAAGAAACCTTATGTACAGCTTTTCTTATTTCATTATGATTAGTTTCGTTTTTTTAAAAAGTACTCTAAGCTGTATAAATAATGTAAACTTAAATTTATTAACCAATCAGACAAACTTCTGCCTATGAACTTGGAGGACTGTAACTATACATGCTGGACAAATCCGGACAAATCCCAAACCGTAAAAAAATAATAACATTTATAAAAAATTGAATCAAAAAATAATCTTAAATTTTGCAAATATATTATATATAACTATAAGAATATATATTGTTTATTTAAATGAAGATTAGTAATAAAATTTTTAAAATATTAATTTGGTTAGAGTTTGGGTTTTGGACACGGACAAACTCAAAATTTAGTAGTTTGGGATTTTGCCAGCAGGTATAACTGTAACTGATTTCATTCTTGTTAAGGGAGTAAATAATAAAATTTTTATTTCTTATATAAAGAAAAATGGTACTATATGTAACAGTTAAAACCGTGACTCAAGCCACCCACGATCAAGACCACGACCCAAGCCACCCACGATCAAGGCCGGGATTCAATCCCGTGACATGTGCTGTCATGGACTGAAATTCGTCTGATTGGCTAATGCAAATCAATTACCCGGGTAACTTATTTATGCACTTTAAAGTACTTTTTAATAACGTAACATTTCACTAACAAAAAAAAACTTTTTTTTACATATTTCGCTTCGTTAAAGTGTTAGGAAACCATCTTTAAAAATAATCTTATATAATCTCATATTTAAGAGGTGTTACCTTAGTAGTGATTTTTTATAATAGGTAAAGGAAAGGAAGTCAACGGACCATGCTACATAAAAATTTGCAAGAGAAAATCTTCAACTTAGAAGTCAGTAACTGGTCTAGTTCTTTCTAAAGGAGCAAATAATAGAATGCTTCCTCCTTATATTATGGAAACTGATACATGATGTTTAGATTGCTATAATACAATTGCTACA